CTATATACTAAACATTTCTTGAAAGACTATGACCGTACTATCACTGTACAGAAAGTAAAAACAAGGTGATTAACTATCATCAAAAGATAAAATTAGGATCTCCAATATTGTTACTGCAAATGAAAAAGATACAGCACAAAATGCAACAATAACAATGAAAAACAAACCTTCTATGATACTTATTTTTAATACTATTACAAACTGATTAAAAAGAACAGTTGACAATAGAACTTTCCAAAGAAACACTCTTATAACAGTTAAAAACACAGATAGAGGTGCATATTAGAAAAAAGGTGATAAAATTGTTCAAGTTTTTGATATAAATCCATCCACATGTTGTTTTTGATCAAAAATAAACTCGCCCGCTTCCAATCGGTCAACAAATGTTGATAAATAAATTGAAAAGCTACCATATTTACCGACATGTCTAAATAAACTATTGTTTATATTATTTTGAATATAGAGAGAGAAGAATAGAACAGTAATACTACGTGAATCGTACAATTCACTATTACAATCTGATCTGAAAATACAGGAGTTAGCCAGTTACTATATTACCTTAGATTTCCATCTGCTGATTCTAATAGAGAAATCATAAACGATGGTTTAAAATCATCAAATTGATATTTTCGTTCTTGTTGTTTTTCTCATTGTTCTATTCAATAATTTCATGCAATGGTAATCAACGCCATAGTCCAACGAGACGTTCGGATTTCGTTTATTCACCATTATGGATGAGATAAGCATCTTTAGAAAAGTGGAAAATGTGCACCAAGTTCTTATTCAACTTGTTCCAATTCCGGTGAGAGAAAAGGTGAATTCAATTGTTTTAACATATCCGGTGCATTTTGTTCTAACCAACGTTTAATACGAATAAACGAATCAGAAACACTCATTTGTAAAAGAAAATCAGAAAATGTATATCACATTTACAAAATCTAAAATTTGAATACAACGAAAATCAGGCTGGCGAATATGTCAACAGCATAATACTTCACTTTTTGACTTACTTGGCAGTTTGGTGAAAATTAATTCCCATTTGTACACCTATCAACGTACAAACTACTATCGATGTCAAAACAATATACGCGTGGCTGTTTTTTGAATAAGTTTTTATAGCAATGAGATAGAGACCTGCGATTTTCGCTGTTCGATAGCTAAGAGTTGAGCGGAACTTTTCACAAGCGGAAACAGCTTTTGAAAAATTTCAAAGATCGGATTTCCAGAGGATCTTTGGAAAAACCAGCTCCGTTCTCAGAAAGCTAATATACAATATTGGTAATCTTTTTGCATGCATAGATAGTCCGGACGTTACTCTACAAAATTATACAAGTCTCGGCTCTCCAGCTATCGCCATTCGGACAGGCCTCGCTTTCCCCGAGCACGTGTCTGAGAATCTCGAAATGCCATGGAATATAGGTAATCGACTACGATGAGCATAGTGGCAACATTTATTTTTGTGTAGAAATGAATATAACTTCGTCAGAGGCATTTTCGTGAAAAACCGATTTTTCGCATGTTACTAGCAAAATTAAAATCCTTATATCTCGATCACATCTCAGGCTGACCCAACGAACCTTTTAGGAAAGACTTAAAAGGTGCCATATATTGTTGATCACGCCGAAAAAGTGGTCCAGCAGAACACTGATGCTTTGAGGTTTTTCAGAAGGTTTCTAGAAAATCTTAAATCAATGCCCGCCTGAAATTCACCTTTTTCGTCTTCGGTTATACTTTATGTCCTGAGCGTTTCCTAAAAATTTCCTTGAGTCAGCATGAGATTTGATCGAAATATAAGGATTTAAATTTCGTTCGTTGAAGGCTCAGTAAGGAAAAGTCAAATAAGTTGGTTAGAAAAATGAGTGAAAATAGAAAAAACATATAATAGACTGTACCATTGGTTCAAGATGTGGAATGATTTAGTCAATTAGCAGTAAAAAATTATTCGTAAAGAACCATTTGAATAATGTTCTAACTTTTTTCTCGCTGAAATCAGTATTTTCATAGATTTTCTAGACAAATACTTTTTTGTTTCCTCGAGTTTTGCAGAAGTACGAGCATAAATTTAGTTGACTGCCGGTGCTATTATGGATACCCGTAGCAGATTCTCTCCGATTCCATACAAAAGCAAATGAAACATGGCCGACTGGAAAAAAGTGATTTCTAAAATTCAACAAATTCTCTGCTGCGCATGAAAAAGAAACAACATAATGTCAAATCTGATAAGTTAGTATTAAAACATAGACAAAAACTGTGCTTTAATTTGAGTGTAACGAAATGTTGAAATAATGACTAGAGTAGTAGCAAAGATCAATCGCCAGATTTTATTGATAATCGAATAAAATCTATGTCTCTCAATATTGATGGTCCATTTCTCAATCCATCTTTACCAACAACTGTCAATTCGTTTCTCACTTCCGCTGAAAGGGTAGCCTGTGAATCACAATTAATATTGGAAGCATCTTATTTCTGTATAAGTTATAATACACTTCAACGTAAAGCGTGTGAAAACGATTTATACAAAAAACATAAACGACAATGATTTTGGTGATGAAATTATAAAATTTGTCGCAGACTAATCACTTCAAAATTTCTGAATAAAGGGAAGGATTTGAATATGTAATTTAATAAAGTCAAATCGTCAAAACACGCCGTTAAACAAGAAAACCTAAACTATAGTTAATTATTGTTTACTCTGTCATCAACGCACTGGAAGGAAAAAGCATGATTGTTAAAAAGGAAAATATCCCATACAACACGATTAATACACTAGGTAAAAAATGACAAGAAACAAAAATCAATCACAGTTTAACTGATCAAGGTAAAAAACATAAAGAAAAATAGGTATGTACATATTTACGTAGAAAAATTCATAATAATTACAACACTTGCTGTTATTCTTTCTCTTTTTCATTGACTGTTGTCTTCTTCTGCTGATTGTACAATATGATACAAGGGTTCTTTATAGAGAAAATAATGTTGAACAATAAATATAATATCAAAGAATATTGACAATATTCCGAGACCGAATTTTGTTGGTGATCCAAATATTGATGTCCAATCATTATAATTATAAGCCAGCATGAACATTTGAAGCAAGCTGAAAGCTCCCCCAGTAAAATCAAGCAATATGTTTCCTATCGACCAACCTACGGTTGATTTTCGACGGTAATTGAAATAAACCTGAGGTATATACTTAATACATGTTATTAATAATTTTACATAAGAATAAAAATAGAGTAATGTTAATGTTTGTAATTTATTATGCGTACTTAATGAGACTACAGTTGAAATAAGTAAAAATAATCCTAATATACACATGATTACACGAGTAATATAAGAGACACGTTGTGCACCTAAAAATAAGAAAAAATAAGTTTCACTTAATGTTTTGTCAAATTTAACGTACCTCGTTCAAAAAATAAGCATTGAAATATGGTTATCAGACATGCTATCACAGCATGACAACCGAATACAACATCGTTTAATAATACGGGAATAACACCATGTGGATGTAAATGAAAATATTCTAATTGCACTTCGGGTGATGAATATAAGCCTACATTGAATACAGAATAACAAAAATGTCCTAATATATTCAGAGCTAAAAAGTCAAAATTTAGACCAATAACACTTTTGCGTTTAAAATTCAAAATTATTTGTGGATAAAATGATATGGACCAAGCTAAAATAAAAGAAAACATAGCTAACAGACATCATATAAAGCGTGTCTAAACAATGGGTCAATCTTACCTAGAAAATAGATCCATCCAATTATTTGTATGAACACATTCAATGTTGAACTTTCAGCTATTTCGATTCTCATAAAATCTCCCTGAGTTATGTTTACTTCTTGTGATTGTGCTCCAACAATCAAATGTCCCGCTTTTCTCGCTCTAATATAGATTTGTTGAGTTGTAATTGGTTGACGAAACGTGATATTTGGTAATGGATCTATATAGCCAAGTGTATTCGATGTTAAGTCTTGATCATTTCCATAGAGAAATGTGATATTTACATCTTGTTCAAGATTCATAAAAAGTTGAACAGTTGTTGATTTATTTGTATTCACACTGATAGTTAATGAGGATGGGTCAAACAAAAGTGTATGATCGTTGGCGGTCATTCTAGACAAGAAGTAACCGTAAACACAATGAGACAAAATGATAGAATAAATTGTAATTACAAACAGATAATGTCTATTTTCAAACATTTTGAAATAAGAAGAATCTTATAAATATCTGAAGCAGAAAAAAGTAAAATTAGCGTTCCTTTCTCCTAAACAAATGCTTGTAAAACAATAGTATTGTATTTGAAGTACTGTTTTTCAAATCACAATCTAATTTAACATAACGCTTTGATTTGAAATAAAATAAAAGTTATGACCCGCAGTTATGAGCGCATACTTTATTATTTTCGATCTAAAGAAATTTCTATCAATAGAAATCAACGAGGAAGACTTTTCAGTTTATGCAAAATACCTTGAAAGTCTGTGATGCTCTCCATGCAAATAGATCATTAAGGGATGATGATTCTCGGACAAAAAAATCGACTTTGAGAAAAGCACATGGAAAGATAGCCTGAAGTATCTCCTTCATCCTCCTGAAGTGTCTCCTTTCAGAATCTGTATTACTTTCGGTTACAGAAGTGATTTTTTGCGGCTTTTGAGCAAGTTTTCTAGGAGCCTCGAAAAACCGGGTCTTCAAGTAATAGGTTTTTTCTAGATATTTATGCAATTAAATTTTTTTCTGAGCGCGTCGATTTGTAGAACAAACCTTTCTGATCAAAATAAGACTTCGCACAACTCTGTATGACCTTACATCAAAAAGTTAGAGTCAAGTAGAGATTTCGGGTTTGTTTTATTTTAAACTGGACACCTAACTACATGGCTGATCGGCACCAATTTTTCAATTAGATCTTAGTTTTTTGTAAAATTGATGATTTCTAGAAAGCCAGGATGCGTTTTTCAGGTTTCTGAGTTTATTGACTGTCGATAAAACGAACAAAGGCTTAATTGAAAAATCGGCGTCGGTCAGCCCATGCAGTTATGTATCTAGTTTAAAATAAAATACACCCAAACTCTCTAGCTTGAAGTATATTAAAACATTTTGGGAAATATTTCGGGGTCCTTTTTTGGACCTTGATCTCTGGAAAACTCCTAAAATCTCCCTAAAAAACCCCTTAATAGTTGCAATTGCTTGAAAGAATTAAGCCAGAATTTGAAGTATGAAGATAAGTTTTAGTTATTGTGAACTGTCGAGAAAAGACAAGTGTCAACCCATATTATACCAAAAATAAGATTCATACTGCGTGTCGAGAGAACAAAATCTCAACAAGCACTAACGCAGAACAAAGATCTGCCTTTTTTGAACAAGGATTTCTTTCCTGAATGTATAAAAAGGAGGGAGAAGCGAAAAATTAATGTTTAAATTGAAAAGAATTTATATATTTGTTGTAAGAATTCTGAAGTTTTTTCGGAAGTATTTAAAAAAAATAAATAAACAACTGAATAAGTAAATATTAATTGTATGATAAGATAGTAGACGCAAATTAGTATAAAAGACAGATTTTAATTGATATAAAATGAAACCATTGATTTCATCAACATTAACCCTGAATGCAATGAGCTGTAAATAAATGAAAGAATAGAACCAATATACAGAAATAGTTAGATAAGTTATATAATTTCCTGCACATATCTTAACAGAAAATAAACGAAGAAGGATACTCTACATTATGAAGGTTCTCTTATATGTGCTCGCAAACTATTTCATTTCTGGGACTGGGAGAAATTCTTTCTGAAAATCGATTTTCAAAAAACTTCGTCGGTATGAGTTATAATTCCAACCGGCCAGTTTACCGGCACCGGCCGGCCGTTTCTCAACCGGTTCCAACTCTGGGCAGAACTGTCTCGATCTCGTTTGACAATTTTGTAAGACTAATTAATAATTCCCCTGGATGCAGAAACAGATATCGTCGTTTCCTTTTCGGTTTGAAGTAACCGCTCCAAGCAAAGATCGGCTTTGAGAGAAACCTCATTGGATAAATTAGGTGAGATCATGATCTGTTTAACCAAAATCAAAAAACATTTTTGTCTCGAACAACATTCATAAAGGCACTCCCCACATATGATATACGGTTTATCACCTTTAGTCATAAAAATCACATTTTGTGGTCAACATATCTTGAATTTCACATGATATCGTCGTTTTTGCTATTGATTTTCTAGTGAATACCTAGTTATTACCGCTATTTCTTGCTTATTACAAATAATAGCTACTGCTGAGATAACATGAAACAACAGAGGGATGCATCTTTAAATTTGTTGTTGATATTAGACTGGAAATTTTTGCGGATTTACATCATCAAGTACATGAGAAGGTAGAGTAGAACGCTTTCAATAAAATAGCAAAGTATACGATAAACATTGGCAACTTTATGCATACTCTGGTCACCATAGAGAGACCTAAAAAGTCAGCTAGGTGCGTTTTGCTAAAATTTTCATTAATAATACTAGGTATGAGCACAAAAACCATATCCCTACATATGTGGAACTAAATAATTATATTGTTCTGGCAGCTTTCACCGTCAATTTACTCTATTTTATGAGTTCCACACTCGCATAATTCTTCCGTTCTCGAATAGAAGTAATGATTGAAAAAGAAACAAATCGCAGTTTGATCCGGAACCCCTAATGATACGGGCACGTATTGTTTCTTAATTCTGTTCTACTTTTTAATTATTATTATATTGTTATTACTGTGTTAAAAATAACTATTCAACGTAACATGCAAACGAATTACGGCGAAAGTGCCGGCGACCTCTATTACGAGTCTCACGACCACGTATCACACAGCTTACATTTATACACAGAATTACTTCTTTTAGACTGAATTTCAGAATTCTTTTAAAGAATATGGATTTTAAGCTCATACCTGTCAGCAGTTAATCTAGCCGAAATATTTTAAAGGTAATTATAATCATTCAATGGTTCTGATTTATTTTTTTCGATTATCAAAATTTATTGACAGCGGTTTTCTCTCTCTGTGAACAGAATACTAAACGTTCAATTTCTTCGCTTTGTTGCTATATGGCATCATCCTCGTCTTATTTACATCCTATGTCTGGGACATCTCCATCTTACTTACACATGGCATCATCGACTTATTTACATAATATGGCCCCGCCTGGAACTAAACAATGGACAACAGTGGGCTCATCACAACAACAACAAATGACTAGTTCAACAACGAATAAACAACAACAACAGCAACATTCATCTCAACAGTCATCACAATTACAACAGCTAGATGGGTTGACAAATCATTTAAGTCAAAACAGTTTAACAAATAATTTGATACCTTCGACTTCTCAAACACAATTGGAGAAAAACGTATGTTGCAAATATCTATTGTGATACTTACATAACGCATCTTTTTTCTAAGCAATTTTCTATGACTTATTTTGAGTTTGGTACTTACTCAAAAATAATAATACTTTGAACGTGAGGTGAAAGATTCCTATACATTTAACTTTTTTTCCTCATACGAAAAATTACTTACAGAAATCCTTGTTGCAACACTTGGAAATACACAAGCTCTTGAACGTCCTAGTCTACACAGTTTACACAGTTGTTTGTTTTTTGGAATGGAAATACTTTTCTGCATCGTAGTCATTTTTCACCGACTATAACTTGTTATTTAAGAGAATTTTTATTTATCTTCCTATTTGTTTGCTTTAAGTTCGAATTACAACAAGAAGATTTTCCACCACTACCCAAAAGTGCAACAATATCGCAGAATCAGGAATCAACATCAACAATATCTTCACAACAGACATCTAATAATTTATTACCATCAGTCTCCTCTTCATCCTCTTCATCTCAGCATCCATTTAACAATTATTCAGCAACATCCTCGAATTCTTTAAATGGTTTCACGTCATTGAATGATTTAAAACAATTGCAACAACTACAGACTTCATCATCTCCTTATCATCATACATCATCGTCACCCAGTCCTACTATATTTAAATCATCCGTTGATCAAATGAATACTCTTTTAAATAGACAACAATCGATTCCTGCATCTCAAAGTACATCATTGTCGAATTCGCAGCATCCACAATACATTAAACAATTATCGCAACAACCATCAGGCTCAGGTGAGTCAACAAAAGACGTCAGAAAATGCAAATTGTATCACATAATGTTAATGATTAGAAACGTTTTTGAAGATTAAGTCTTTTTGAACATTCAAAAGGGATCTCTGTTATTTCTGTAAAAAATCTTAAACATTGTTTCTACTTTTGACGGCGTAAGTTTAAGTGAGATATAGTGATACACTAAAGTGATTCCTGTAAGATATCCAATTCTTTTCTACTCTTTTCTTACCATCGTTTTTATTCACTTTTTTATTACATCTCTAAATGTTCGCCAATGAATAATTTTTTCATTTTTAATGTATTTAGGTTCATCCACGTCAAATTCATCCTCGTCAACTTCAGTGGGATTTGCTGCTCTGTTAGCGGCTCATCAGGCTCATGCTTCTCAACAACAACAACAACAACAAAATTTATCGAATACAAATTCAACATCAGGTCAAACGACGACAAGTGTAATTGGTAGTAATGGAACGGTAACGGCAATCTCAGGGCAAACAAGTAATGGCGGAAATGTGACGATTGGTAATACTTTACCATCTTCAACAATCACCGATCAGTATGGTCTTGTGGGCCTATTACAAATTATACAACAAGCAGAAAAAGATCCAATCGCGTCAACATTGTTGAATTGTGACTTAACAACGCTGGGACTAAGTAAGTTTATTTCTTTATTTTAATATCGATGTACGCAATAGAAATACCGTCATCAAATTGAGAGTAAGCAGAAATTGTGCAACTATATCGTTGTATGTATATGAAAAATTTGAAAAAATTAATTTTTTTCTAGGTATGGAAAGTTCTACTGACTTGTATCCATCGTTTATATCTCCGTTTGTCGATCAACAAGCTCGTCCACATGAAATCGATTATCAAGTACCGTATGAATATCAAATGGGAATGCAAATTCGTGACAAACTACCACAAGTGAAATTCGATCAATTGAATGAAGATACTCTATTTTTTTTATTTTATTTATTTGGAAATGATTATATTCAAATATCGGCTGCCAATGAATTGTATCGTCGCGATTGGAGATATCATAAAGATGAACGTATATGGTTAAC